CGAGCCACTGGGAAGTCTCTTGACTTAAAAGAGATAACAATCACCAAGAAAAAGAGCAGAACGATTGAATATGGTATTACAGGCAATCCAACTAACATGAACTCCGACAGTCAGAGATTTGGTGTGGGTATTTCACAGAAATGGTCTCTTGTATCTTCCAAACTGGGTAGACCTTTACTACATGACAAGAAGACCAGGCTTCAAACATTTTCCCAACCAGGAGGCAAGCTGAATGAAGCCAAGTTCCGTTGGAACGCTCAGCAGATCGTAAGTTCACTCGGGAAACCTTTCGACCGGAACTTCGAGAAAGATCCCGGATACTTCGAGTTCTCAGGAGACCCTGACAACGCAGTGGTACCGACTGGATGCAAGCTGGTAAAGGAGGCAGATAAAGCGAACAGATTGGTATTGATGAGGAAGAACAGTGTAAGAATGGCTCACGGAGTGGTGGATGATGCCAGTGAGAGGTGGACCCTCCAGCGGGGCCAGATTTAACAAATATACTCAGTTATTTCTGTCATTGGGCAGCGAATATTTCAGTGGATAACACATTTAGATGCCATCAATTAAGACGTTATCTAGATAATTCGATTTTTTTTCTTTGGCATGCTGTAAAGAAATAATTTTATTTGACGGGAAGTTTAGCTTAGTTTTTGTATTTTTTTGTAATTTATGAGATGGATTGTAAAATGTAAAAAAGTCAGGCTCATAATTGAATATATGTTTTTATTTTGATCAATCGACGTCTTGCATAAAGTCGGTCGTTTAATATTTTCCAAATCGTAAAATCGGAAACATCATACTAAAGCTACACGAAAGCTATCAACCAAGTTTACACAAAGATCTAGCAAGTTGCCCAAAAATAACTCCCACTTTAAAGTGTCAACCTAGATACTAAAGTAGGATCTCGCTTTGAGAGGATACCGCGGTACTTTCAGGGAAATTAAAATCAGCTGATGCCAGTAGAGAAAATTAAAAAACAGTATTTTCTCGTGCAAGAACCGATTTAGAACTGAGTTATTGAATATTCGACGTTTTCAGGGAGTTTACACTTTACAGTTTACAGTGACCTTCTATAAATCTGGTATCCTATTTGTGATGTTTGCTCCCATATTGGTGGATAAATATTCAGTATGAAGTATGAGCAGCTCTGTCAAAGGAACCAATGTTACCCCCTGTAAACTATGGACCAACTAAACCGGCGGACCCTCAATTTGTGAGGCCAGAAAAATGACATGAGGCCATGGCCTGAGACCTCAAATAAAATACGAGGACTAACTCTAAGAGGTACATTTTCGTACAAAACCGCGTAATGGAATATTGGCCCACAAAGGACGAAAGACAATAATTATTAAAATCGTAAAATTGACCTCATTAAGATAAACAAGAGATGCTCTCATTTTATCTGATCGCTTTCTGTGAAATCTTACTCTTCTTTGGCAAGGCCTCAAATTTATGCGATTAACAGTCAAAATATTACAATCTGTTCCAGTACACTAATTTAAATTCATTATTAGTAAATTTTGTGCTAATGTTCTTCCAACTTGTATGGGCCTTTCAGTATTGAAGCTAATGAATCATACAGAAGTACGACAAATATTGTTGTCTAATATTTATTAACATACAGTAAATATGCCAATAAAGACATAATTTGTCAACATAAAGCCGATCCTTGGCATGGCCTAGGAAATCACGTGACCAGCTCCAGTCCTATAAAGTCTGCAAATCGCTCACAAATCTGCCGAGTATTTCCCGAGCTGAATAACCAGACGTTGGTTTGTTTAAATAGTTCTTTTAGAAGGTTGTTTGGTTCGAAAATGTCATCAAAACTAGACTGCACGATCATGGTCCATACTAGCAGATCTACTAATTGAACCAATCTCCGAGCACATAAAACCCTGATACTGGCCGGTAACTGCGGCATCGCCATCATTCTAAATACTAACTATAAATATATAACTAATCCTAAATATTCGACCCGACTTATGATCCGTGGCCTTTAAGTAGCCTCGTATGACTAATTTCACATCCGGCCACGGCCAATAATGAATAAGTCCACGGACGAGTCTTCCTCACTTCCGTCGTATAAGTTTATAACTGCTGAAATACCAGGTTTGTATTTATATCTAAATACAGTAAACAAAGGCCAAATAATATTCGACTAATACTTGTTTCTTCGGAATAGACAACTTACTGGGAGGGTCATGATAACCATTGACCAATATCGTCGATACAAACGATAGATTGTAAACATAAGACCATCACAATGCCCATTTGACCACTTGGTGAAGTTGAAGACATCCTTTAACGAGACTCCTACCTCCGTACGCCATTCCAGGGCTTTAGTGGATCGTCTGAATGGTCGAATAATTGATTTCGGCATTTAAAAGCTTGAGATGGCCAGGTCTTTCATCACTTCAACATGTTCGGCTTCCTGCATGAGAACTTTCATCTTATGTTCTTTCCGATCTCATTTGTAAAGCGTTTATTCTCGATGTAAATGACACGTCAAACGGTTTAGTCTGAGTCAAACAGCCAAGATTTATCTTTCAATTTTTAACTGCGTAGTTTTGAACGACCACTGTACATTTACGATCCTAATTTTGAATTCTTTGAATTTTAAAGGTCAAATAAACACCTTTCTTCCAAAGCCAAGTTTGCTCAAAGAAACAGGGGTGAACATCATCGAGATGAAGCTCTTTCTTCTACTGGCCCTATTGCCTCTCCTAGCCCAGGCTCAAGAGGAGGAGATGTCCGACACAGAGGAGGATAGAGAAAAGGCTGATGTTGTGGACGACTGGTGGTGGAATGACCAGGCTTCCATTCCTGACTACTTCGACAACAGTAACCGCGGAGTAGTCAGCAGTGCAATATACCAAGGTGCTACATGTGGATCATGTGGACAAGTTTCTGGGACACAGGCTCTGGAGGCTAGGATTGCGCTGGTTTCGGAAAACTGGGTGCCTTACTCCATACAGAACTTCATGAATTGTGATGGAAGAGTCTGCGTTGGAACTCAGCCCTACAGAATGGCAGCTCTAGCGAGGAATTCCAACTGGATCGTTCCAAGAGATGAGTTGCCTTACACAAAAAATGCGTGCAGAGCATGGGGTGAGGGAAAATCTGGATGTGACTGTGGCCATAAGATGGGAAATAAATACAGCAACGTATTAGACGATCAGTTCGTCTTCATTGGACCGACAGTTCCAGCCCACACAGAGAAGGAACTGAAGCATGCCCTCCAGACCGGCCCAGCCGTCACCACCTACACAAGATCTGGTGCCAAGAAGCTGGGAGCAAAGTGCAAGAATGGGGGTTCTCACGCTAATTCTATTATCGGGTACAACAAGGAAAGTTTCATCATACAGGAAAGTTACGGAAAGGGATGGGGAAACTTTAAGAACGGCACCTGGGAGACTGAGGCGGATGACATCTGTGGCAAAGCAATCCTCAGTAAGGCATACTTCACTGTCATATTTTATGATTATGACCGAGCAAATGCTTACTATTCTGAAGTAGACGGGGAGGAATCTGGACTGCTCTACTTGGTGATCGATGCTAGCCTCAGTTTCACAGAGAAAGACTTGAGCAACATCGGGCTGGCTAAAAATAGGTGTGCTTTCATGGGTGAGCACTGCAAGGGTGTCTATAAAGCGACTGATGGAGAAATCAAGTTGGTTTCATCAGTTTCTAAAAATGGAAAAAAGAATAAGAAAGGCTCAAAGAACATTGTGACATACTACCGTAAGAAGCAGATGGTCATCTACCTTAAAAACGAAGAAAGTAACTCCTACCTGACCATTGTGGGAAAGAAGCATCCAAAACTAGGAATGAACTCGAAGAAGAAAGCTGCTCCGTTCTTTACAAGCTACGGACGCATCATCTCATACCGGAGGCCTGAATACCATGTGGTCGACAATAGACTTGTAAAGATAGAGGGAGACATCAAGGATTCCAGGATCATAGATCAAAGTAACACGTGGGCGCTTAACGACTGCAATCTAAAGAATGCAGGCAGTGGGGAGTCCCTTGACTTACTTGAAGACGGTGTTGGAGGAAACCCTACGAACCTTGACTCACAATCTCAGAGATTTAGCATAGGTATTTCAGGAAAATGGTCCCTAGTGTCTTCGGAATTGGGAAAACCATTACTTAAAAATAAGAAAACTAACGCATTCACCTTCATTGAAGCCAGTAAGACAAACGAGGCAGAGTTCCGATGGAATGCCCAGCAGATCACAAGTTCACTCGGAAAACCTTTCAACGCGAACTTCGAACAAGATTCCGGATACTTTGAGTTCTCACAAGATCCTAAGAACGCAGTAACTCCGACAGGATGCAAGCTGGTGAAGCAGGCTGATCACACCACCCGATTGGCATTGGTAAAGAAGAGGAAGAAGTACCATTTCAAGATGGCGCACAATGTAGACGAGCAGTTCGGTGAAAGATGGACTCTTGAACGAGACCAGATTTAAGTGGTCTTACACTGTTAGTGTAAGAGAGATGGACTCTAAAGCAATATTTTATTTAACAAGGATTCATTATTTTATCATTCGGTTTAAAAAATGTTTGACGAGTAGTTTGACTGAGCTTCGTCTACCTATATTTGTATAATGTTACGTGTGTTAACTGTTAACTGTAAGTCTTACTGTCCTAGTTGCAGCTTAATTATTTATTACATTAATTGTAAAGAATTGTTTGCTTGTTATTGCTGATCTGATTTTGTTTCGGAAATTTAATGTTTTAAAAAATCATATAATCCAACTTTTTTGTTTAATTTCTTGCTCACCTATTCATGGCTAACCAATAACCAAGCTTTAAAAGCAATCGTTAAAATTCCGAGCTCATCTTTTAAAAACAATGGAACAAGATCCTACAAAATAAAACTTTCCTCCACGGATGTAAACTCAAGTAACGATCAAAATGGTACAGTTAATTAATCCTAATTATTATCAATCCTACTAATTAATACCCGTACTAACAAAGAGTCTCCTACACAGGTGTAACAACACACGAGGGAACACACTATGTTAGTGATACGGGAAATGACAGAGTTCAAGTGTTCGACCGAGACGGGAACTTCATCCGTTTTATCGGTATGTCCCTAACTGGTACAGCAATTCATTAACTTTACCAACATGACGTCATAGTACCTTTGAAACTATTGATACTATAACACAAGAATAATGGCCATTAAAGTGAAATGAAAGTCGAAACTGCTTTAGAGAACATAAAAATGAAACAAATACTAAACTCTCTTTCTTAGGGGAAAACAAGCTCCATTCTCCACGCGGCATAGCAGTATCTGGAGACTTTATCTACATCGCAAACAGTGGGATGGGTATGTAATATATGCGAGGTTTATAGTTTATAGGCGAGTATTTAGTATTTATGGGTGCATTTTTGACAGTTTCAGACTATTCAAATCCACTGCTTATACTGTTATAATGACAGCATGACGCAGATATACGCAGATGCATCTAATGGAAGAATAGTTTTTAGGATAAACAGTCCTTTACAATATCATTGATTAACGAGTATATTACTTCCTCCGGGCAACTCCGGGCCTTAATAGGAAATCTTAAAATCGCAGGGTTAACATTTAACTGTTATAAGCATCTATAGGATCATTAACAGAATGACCGCATTATTCTTTAGAATTCGAAATTTTAATAAATATGAGGCGAGACAGAAGACTGGATTGCGGTTTGATATGCACATGATATGCACCAATAATGCAACGTGTACACAATGCATCCTTACCAATTACCATATTATATAATACAGCAATCCCCTGCAGGAATCATTAGCGTGTTTGACATGAGAACAGGAGAGCTAGTCGACAAGATACACAACAAGTCACCCCATTCATGCGATCTACAGCTACCAACGGGGGTAACCAGCGACACTGACGGGCAAATATTCTTTACGGACGCCAACAACTTCTTCTGCAACCACTTCGTGCAGGTCAGACAGTTCACAGTTGTATTATTTGATACAAGCTAGAAGACGGCTGTTTCTTATCTTATAAATATACTGTTTTTAGAGTGAATATCTCTCACTATTTATAGGTAACGTGAACCAGTACCAATGTGAATGATAGTGCTTTAAATTACCTTCTATCTAAATGCACGTGATAGAATCAATGCTTATAAAATGCTATAATCACGAAAGGAAAAAACGATAAGATACTTGGCAAATGCTATCAAGGAAAAAGCGCCAACTAAAACATTTGTTATATTGATTTGTTACTGCTGTACCCATTTATATGTCTCGAAGTTATAAATCAAATTACAAGGTACTCGTTAAAAACAGCGATAAAAGTTTAAAAACGGCAAAATGATCTGTAACGATACACGTCTTGTTCCAGTACAATGACCACCAAGATAGCCCCACTAAACTCTCTCCCCCAGGTGCTGACAAGTGAACACAGGTATTCCCGCTCTATCGGGGTAGTTGGCAACAGGCCAGGAGAATTCCTCGGCCCCACAGATCTCACCATTGACAGTTTGGGAAACGTTATAATAACTGACACGCGGAACCACCGTATCCAGGTAACACAAAACACAGAGACACGCTAACAGGGGGGTTATTGAGAAGTGGCTGAGTGTGGCAATGATGGCACCGTTTATAGATATCAAGTGTACAGTGAGCTCTTACCGTGAAGTTTGACAAGTTATCATGGTGATATAGTGTGCGCTGTAGATAAGAATATCTACGGCCTCTGGTAGAAGCACAGACGTTGTTTCCGTAGCCATGATGTAAGGGCCTTTACGGTGCAAAATGTACCGCTCAAGTGACTCATGAAGGGTTTGCGACTTAGTGTTCGTAGTCTACTGATCACGTGGGTTGATCACGTGGTCTGATCACGCGGTCTGATCACGTGGTCTGATCACGTGGTCTGATCACGTGGGGTGATCACTATACTAAGCGCTTCCTTACATCTCACAATATATGGGAGCTTCAGAAGGCAAGGTTTATAGGGGGAGTAGATGAAAATGAACATTAAAGTTAAACACAGCTAGTGCAAAGTTAGATTAAATATAGATTAGATTAGATTGGATTAAACTGTACGAAGTTCAAGTGACAGTCGAATAAGCCGGGTGTCAGTCCCAGACACGACGAGAGGCAGATCATTTCAACAGACAATTTAATGGCAATAAACGTTCCAATCGTGTTATTTGAACACTATTATTCGAAATTGAATACTGTTATAGTATTATCTAGATCCCGAATTTAGACCATGTTATTTGAACACTATTATAGTATTATCTAGATCCCGAATTTAGACCATGTTATTTGAACACTATTATAGTATTATCTAGATCCCGAATTTAGACCATGTTATTTGAACACTATTATCTAGATCCCGAATTTAGACCATGGCCATTGACTCCTAAACGGCTCGTAAACAGCTCTTAAGCGGCTCTTGAGTAGCCTGGTTTTAAAAATGAAACAAGTCTGCTAATAGCAATACGTCACGTGTAAGCAAAAGAGTAGATAACAAAATATTTCCTTGTGTTTGAATTACATTTATTCAGATTGTGGATAAAAACAACAGCTTGGTGGCGTGCTTCGGAGGGTTCGGGAGAAAGAAAGGACTCTTACACTTCCCGTACGGGGTTTGTGAGAGAAATGGTGTGCTGTACGTTTCAGACACCAACAATCATCGTATTCAGGTAACTATGGCAACAATCATCGTATTCAGGTAACTATGGCAACAATCATCGTATTCAGGTAACTATGGCAACAATCATCGTATTCAGGTAACTATGGCAACAATCATCGTATTCAGGTAACTATGGCAACAATCATCGTATTCAGGTAACTATGGCTACAACCAGCCAATCTCTTTGAAGTAACTATCGCAATTATGATTGTAAGGAGAGATCACAACATTTGATACCAATTCACGAAGGGTAAAAGTGAACTAGGAGGTGCAAAATGCAATTGCATGGTCTTGAAAACTTTGCAACTATTGCGACTTTGGTGAAGAATGTCTCCCCAACATCGATTATTCCTTTTAAAGTGAGGACGGATCGCGATAGCAATGTTTATATTCATAATGCGAATATTTATATTCATTAAAGTTAATGTAGTTGCCAGTTCATAACGGACCATAATAGCTTGTGAGTGCTTTAGTTGTAGCTACTGTAATCTCCGGAGATTTTTCAAATTGGAAAATAGCAGAACTATTTTGAGCCAAATTGCTATGGGGGGGGGGGGGGGGGGGGGGGGGGGGGCCAAGTGGATATTTGTAGATATTTGTAGATTAATGTAGAGTGGATAATCCACGAAAAAAGTGGATGACATTCTACAAATTTATACATTTATCTCCAAAAATTCAGTAGAATTTCTGGGCACATATTTGAGATTACATTTTTTGTAGATAAATGTAGATATTTGTAGATTATTGTCAATGGATAATTCACGAAAATTCTACAAATTCTACAAATTTATACATTTATCTCCAAAAATTCAGTAGAATTTCTGGGCACATATTTGAGATATACATTTTTTGTAGATAAATGTAGATATTTGTAGATTATTGTAATGGATAATTCACGAAAAAAGTGGATGACATTATCCAAATATCTACAAATATCCACTTGGCCCCCCCCCCCCCCCCCCCCCCCCCCCCCCCCCTGCTATGCTCAAATATATGGTACTGGCAGCCGCACCCCTTCAACATAAACTTAACAGCAAACAATAAAATACAGAGCATTGGACTTTTTCAACTCTAGTCTCTAGTAGAGTAGTAGATACAGATCCACTGATCAGTGGTATTTATACTTAAATAGTATCGAATACCAGCACCACTAACAGTGTATTTCCACAGGTGTTCAACTCACAGACGTCCTGAGCCGATAGTCACGTGGTATGATGCAGAGTCACGTGGTATGATGCAGCAGTCACGTGGTATGATGCAGCAGTCTGGGCATTTAACTAAAGCTCGCCGGGAGACTGGAGTTAGACCTGCTATACAGGACAAGCTGGAAACGCGCACACGTGCGACCCAAGGACATGCACGTGCAGGCTTGAAGGAAAATAAGGATCAAATCTTTGATCATCGACTCTTTTATGGCGTACATTTAAATGGGTTATTTTTAATCGAAGATTGATTTTTTGAACGGGCAGTGTTTTGAGCTGGCATTTAGACACGTTTGAAAGTTTTATAGAAGGGACTCTATACAATTGTCATTTTATATTTATCAAATATCATGCAATGTCATGTAATCTTCAATTTATTCGTGAAACAAAAAAAGCATAGTATATTTACTCCATAATTGTTTTTCGCGTGCTCAAAATGCTCTGACAATTAGCGTTTAATTCATACCGAGATTCTACAGAAAATATATCCAAGTCCGTCGTACGAGTCTGCTACAATCAAGTAAAACGTTCCAAACACTTCAAAGTAAAAAGCAAAGACAGAGGTAAGCCCACAAACACAAAATAACGACACTTAACGAATTTCTAAGTTAATCCGGATTTTATTTTTCATTAATGAACACATACAGAGCATTCCACTCAGGCGCTGTGACCCTTCAACAGTTTTAAAGTGTTAAAATTAGGAGTTTACAATCTTATACCCTACCGGTTGGGGTATGAGTACAGAAGAGCAGTTATGGTTTCCATGACGAGAGTATAAACTTCATCCATAGGTCAGCAGCTCAAACCACGCTACAACTCAACAGGAATTATATAGCATATTAATAATATGTTATATAATATTATTAATGCAAATGCGCACATAAGTTTCGTTACCGTGTCCCCACTTTTCACACCAGGGATGTTAATTAACGGTGATGTTTCTGGGGAAATTGGTGCCGTAGAAGTTGTATTTCACACCGAACAAACGGGATTTTTAATTTGGGTATAAAAATAAATCGTGTACATTGTGCCAGTTATTAATTTCAGTACTCTTCTAAAATCATGTATATTATACCAGTTATTAATTTCAGTACTCTTCTAAAATCATATAGATTATGCCAGTTATTAATTTCAGTACTCTTCTGAAATCATGTACATTGTGCCAGTTATTAATTTCAGTACTCTTCTGAAATTTAGCAGACTAGATGGAGAGATTTAATGTTGAACTTGAGAAACACGTACGAGAAATGATTCAAAGTAAAAAGTGGTTGTATTTATACCTTCTTGAAAATAAAGATGCACCACACAACGTTCACTTTCAAAATCTAGCGCACAATATTTAAAAAACAGTTAGTGAAAGAAATCCAGCAGAGTCGCTCGAGCCACAAATGATATAATAATAAAACAAATATTTTATTTTTTTACGGCACAATAATATACTCCCTCGGCCAACAAAAGAGGTCGGAGACTTGGAGAATAAAACAGCGAGATCCAACTTTTATTGAGCATACTTTACATCGTATCAAGTAACCTCACATCGCGATGGATGCCGTGAATAAAGGGTAAGAATAATATCTCATATCGCGTGAGGTTCCTACTTCCTCTCACCACAGTGGTTAGTCCAACCACTCACAACCGCATCGGATACAGAACTCACTAAGACACGCACACACATAAACACTAAACAGTTGAAATAAGACACACTTTTAGAGACACTAACAGGTTTATAGATGCTGCTTTTCAACATTCCGATCTACATATACACGAATATGTAAATATTTGGTAGCTTTAATGACAAACAGTAGCACGTACTTGGGGGACATGTCTGAAGCGGATCCTCTTGGCTGCTTCTTTGTCTCCATCGACATGCTCTTGTTGATGTAATCAGGACTGAAACAAAAACAGAAAATAGTAAAATGCTAGAACTTAAATATTATTAATGAGGCAAAAGATTTGTTATCATAGCGTCAAGTTGATAAAACTATAGCGTAAACCCAACTAAACGTCATGAGAAAGTTTTTACACAAAAGAAGCACCAACTATAACGATACATACCTTGTGCTTGAATGGGTACCATAGGATTGATGTGGCACTGAAATATTGATAAAAGTCAGGATAAGATAAGCTACATTTAGTCTGATTGACGGGTTTTAACCTAGGATAAGTTAGAGAGGTTAACGTAGGATCATGCTCTTAACTTCACACATGCGGTTTTAGCGACCCAACAAGATTGATACTTAGATAGTCTGCGTTCTGTTTAAATTCGAAGTCAAAAGCATTCCAAGATCTGAGATCACTTGGAAATACATTTTTAAACGGAACTTTCATGAGATTAAAAATTCGTGCCGAGAAATACCATAGAATGTAAAGTATCAATCTTTCCAATATAAAAAACATGAAAACACAGTCCCTAATTGATAAAATGAACCCACGAATAAATCAGTACAAGAATTCACTGATCAAACACTCACGAGTCATCTCACAAACATTATACCAAGTAACCAGTAATCATTTACAACATTGTGAACAGAAAACTCTGATCACCCTGGCTTACCGAGAGATCATGCAACCCAGCTGTGTACTAGGGCCCGGATCTGATTTAATACCGTCCGACCATCAGAGCGTTATATTACTAATACAGCCAGGTAAAAAGGGGAGTTATACAAGTATAATACAGCGTCTAATAATGCAACACAACAACAAAGACCTGTCACAACAACACGCAGTACGCACGCTCTAAGGAATCACGACAAATATATTGAAACGTGAATACTTGTGAGAGTGAACTTGTTATAGGTTGTGTGAACTTGGTGTAGCTTATTGACAATTATATATTATAATATGTTAGTACTGTGTCGTCCAATATTTCTCTTACATGCTTTTATACCTGGTGTTTCTTAATGGTATGTGATATTAATGTGACAAGGTAAATATGACGCGCTAAATCTGCACGCATACTCATCTCTAACCGAGTTAAACCTCGCACAGAATTAGGACGGAGTAATGAACTGTTAGTTGGAGTAGTGAACTGTAAATTGTAATGAACAATGTTTACTACATACTGTGAGTATGTTGTAAAGTATGAACCTCCAACAAACGTTCGCATTGTTTTAAAACTTTAGCGTGTGACACTGTGACTGTCAGCGTGTGACACTGTGACTGTCAGCGTGTGACACTGTGACTGTCAGCGTGTGACACTGTGACTGTCAGCGTGTGACACTGTGACTGTCAGCGTGTGACACTGTGACTGTCAGCGTGTGACACTGTGACTGTCAGCGTGTGACACTGTGACTGTCAGCGTGTGACACTGTGACTAGCGTGTGACACTGTGACTGTCAGCGTGTGACACTGTGACTGTCAGCGTGTGACACTGTGACTGTCAGCGTGTGACACTGTGACTGTCAGCGTGTGACACTGTGACTGTCAGCGTGTGACACTGTGACTGTCAGCGTGTGACACTGTGACTGTCAGCGTGTGACACTGTGACTGTCAGCGTGTGACACTGTGACTGTCAGCGTGTGACACTGACTGTCAGCGTGTGACACTGTGACTGTCAGCGTGTTCTTCTTCACCCACCTTGTTGAATCTTGTAGTGAACAGCTAATCGTTCATGCGGAACATGCAGAGCACTATCAAGTGAAACGACAGTAACATGCAATGCACGTAATGCACGTGATGCACTAATGGTAAAATCATTAGCCCTCCTTAAAAGTAGTAAGATACACATTCTCTAACAGGAGAGAGGAATTTGCAAAATCTGGGGGGAGACGACACATTTCGATACTTTGAAGTAAATAATGAGCATTCTAGTAGCTCATTAGACATTAATTGATCAGATTAAAAGTGGATTGTTCTAAAAGTAATGTCTATTGTCGGCTCCCCCCACCTAGTAGACAATACAGCACATAAGGCAGATAGTGGGATGCAATAATCGGAGTGTTTGTTCACCTATAGCTTGGCCAGGATTGGATGCCACCGTCGACAGGGGCCCTACAGGGTTACGTTTAAAAATACAACAAGATGGTTTAAATTTTTTGCATGAAACAAGAAGTGAAGTGAGGAGCATGGCAGCGGTACTAGTGGTCGAGGCTAGCCTTGCACTCGACTTGAGCGAGCGCAGCTTTAGAGTTGAAGCACTCGACTGCAATACAAGAGCACAGAAACTGTTCATGCAGGTTTTTCAACCGAGTGAACGTGCCCCACAGAACATTGCTCGCTTAACGACTGGCGAAAACACAGTGCTTAATGTTTGAGTGAAGGATGAGAACTGGAGAGAAAAGTGCTACCAGACTATAAAAGTTGCTGAGCCGAGCACTTGCAAAAGTATACTAGCACGTGCTGCTGCGCGTGTGTATGTGAGATGCACGTGCTTATGAGCGTGTGCTTGTGCGCGTGTGTATGTGAGATGAAGTGAGTTTACACACGAGTGATCCGGCTGCACGATACTCACTCTTTTCACACTAAGTGGTAACCATAGCAACACGTACCTGATGCACTACGTAAGTAGTGTTTCCTGGAACGATTGGGTGAATTAGGTGTCAATGGTGCTTTGCCGTATCTGAAATAATAGCGCACATTTTTAATAAATTTTCAAACTTCATAACAATAATATATAATAACTATAGGCGATATCTTGTTATTTTTCAAGTTACAGGCCACAAAAGCTAACGGTCAGGACTCGGTTAATTACTAAACTGTTTATGATAATGTCAAGAAACTATCAACAATTATCTTACAGTTAGTAAGATGATGTACTCAGAAATTATGCTCAAAGCGCAAGTAACTTGTTCGAAAGAGACAAACAAGTGACCAAGCTGTTGAGTCGTGAAGACTCAGCGAATGGACTAGTTACTTGATCTATTTTGATTAAAAACTACAAAATATTACCTTAATCTTTTTGGCAAACGGTCGAACATTGTACAGATTGATAATGGTCATGCGAGCTTTAGTTGTAGATAATAAAGTTACTAAACGATAGTTTCTATAGCGGAGAACGATAAAAGTAGACAATACTTTATCTCGTTATATCGGTTAAATACTTATATTCGCAAGAATATAGGCACAGCAAAAGGAATAATGAGCGAACGACGAACAGTTTTAGATAAATGAACGTGCGAACAAGTATTGTCCTCTAGCTATTACTCCCAAGAAATGCTATCCAAAATTTTATGAACTCTTGGTGCTTTTGTATAGTCCATCATAATGCGTGAGAAACCGCTTGGCGTTTATCCCCAAAATTGACTGTCTTGGGGTAAATTCTTGGCAATTTTATTGGACAGTCATTTATAAATTATACCTATTAAAATGAGTTGGAAAGTAAAACGGGAAATTAAAGCAGGTACCTGTGTTTTTCAATGAAGGCGCTCTCCAAAAGCTGCTGAGCCGTGGGTCTCTTCTCCTCGTCAGGAATGAAGCAACTGTAAATAGAATCTAACGTAATGGCCCTGATACGTGAAATAGCTTCTCTAATGTACAGAATTTGATGGATTGAAAATGGTCTCACATCTTAATGCTTTAAGGGGGCCGGGGGGGGGGGGGGTCTTCATCAAAATTCTCTCGAAATCGACTAGTTTCGATTTCGAGATAATTTTGATGAAGACTCCCCCCCCCCGGCCCCCTTAAAAGGGGATAGTTAGCGATATATTGCAGCATCATCTGAACTCCATCACTTCCCATTACAAATAAAGGAACTGGAGGACAAAGCGAACAAAGTCGTCATACAATCCAAGCGGGTCATGTATTACACAGAGAAACAACAAACCTCTTGAGAAAGTCGATGAGTTCCTCGGAAACATCGTCCGGTAGAGCAGGACTAATACATTTACCAATCTTATAGTACACCTGGTACTCAGATCTCAGCTGCAAATTGGGGACGGTTAGATAGAGTCACACGACAAGCCCGTCAAATGGTTCGTTAACAAGATTTAGTCGTTAGCCTAAACAATAGTGGACCGGTAAAGCAACATTCCATTTGTTATTTCCACGATCAGCCAGTTAAGAAGGTAGATAATCAATTTAATTAACTAATTAATTAAATCAATTGTATAAGTTTTATTTCCCCTTATCTGCAATTGCTATTTATCAACCTTTCAGTTCCCCATAATATAAACCTTACTTTAATATTGGTCACTTGGAGTTTAAAATCAAACCGAATGCTAGAATTGTTTAGAGTTACCACTCTACCACTATATTTAGAGTTACCACTCTACCACTATGTTTAGAGTTACCACTCTACCACTATGTTTAGAGTTACCACTCTACCACTATGTTTAGAGTTACCACTCTACCACTATGTTTAGAGTTACCACTCTACCACTATGTTTAGAGTTACCACTCTACCACTATGTTTAGAGTTACCACTCTACCACTATATTTAGAGTTACCACTCTACCACTATCTCTACCACCATGTTTAGAGTTACCACTCTACCACTATGTTTAGAGTTACCACTCTACCACTATGTTTAGAGTTACCACTCTACCACTATGTTTAGAGTTACCACTCTACCACCATGTTTAGAGTTACCACTCTACCACCATGTTTAGAGTTACCACTCTACCACCATGTTTAGAGTTACCACTCTACCACCATGTTTAGAGTTACCACTCTACCACCATGTTTAGAGTTACCACTCTACCACTATATTTAGAGTTACCACTCTACCACTATGTTTAGAGTTACCACTCTACCACCATGTTTAGAGTTACCACTCTACCACTATGTTTAGAGTTACTACTGATACCACTATGTTTAGAGTTACCACTCTACCACTATGTTTAGAGTTACTACTCTACCACTATGTTTAGAGTTACTACTCTACCACTATGTTTAGAGTTACCACTCTACCACTATGTTTAGAGTTACCACTCTACCACTATGTTTAGAGTTACTACTGATACCACTATGTTTAGAGTTACCACTCTACCACTATGTTTAGAGTTACTACTCTACCACTATGTTTAGAGTTACTACTCTACCACTATGTTTAGAGTTACCACTCTACCACTATGTTTAGAGTTACCACTCTACCACTATGTTTCGAGTTACCACTCTACCACTATCTTTAGAGTTACCACTCTACCACTATGTTTAGAATTAGTTTTTTATGTCTAAGTACCTCATGAAAGGGCGTCTGGCCGGTTGCCATCTCGAGCAACGTACAACCTAGAGACCAGATGTCAGCGGGAGGACCGTAACCCCTGGCTCCGGCTCTGATCACCTCGGGAGCCATGAACTGCGGCGTTCCTGTAACAGTTACAGTTTTACAACAAAGTTACAGAATTTTCTTCTGATCTCATACTTTAGGTATGAACATTTGGAACACTTCCAAAAGAGCGAGGGAGAGAGAGAGTGTTTCAAGAAGTTGTAAAATCCTCTCCTCTGAGCAGTGCTTTGAACAGTGTTACATAATTGTTTTGAAACCCTAAACTCTCTAAATTGCCAGTTGACAGAAAAGGAACGAGTTAAAGATTTAGCAGTGGACTTCTAGACGGCAACAAACTGTTTGTCTGCGTAAATCGACTCCATTTGCGGATGGGGACGGAGAGAGGGGGGTAATGGGTATGTATTATGTACATATTAATTCATATTAGAAACTGAAACGTACCTTTAAGATTAACCATCTTTTGACACAATCCCTGGATTCGTTTTGACGTTCCGAAATCCGAGATTTTAAGTGTTCCTCGGTACATGTCAATGAGGATGTTGTCAGGCTTGATATCCCTGTTTGATGTTACTTAGCGAGTCAGCTAAATATCATGTAAAGTAGGTGATAATATAAACATTTATAACCTCCCCCGGTTCACCAATAAACAAATCATAATATTAGGAATATGTAAGGATTCCTAGAACTACAGACCAGGTACGAACCTAAAACTCTGCTATATGGCACGTGTTTTACCACGTGTTTTACCACGTGTTTTACCTGTGGACAATGTTTTGTTTGTGAAGGTAGATAAGGCCTTCGATTATCTGGCGAGTGTAATGGCTCATGGCCGGTTCTTGGCCCTTCAGTGGACCCCAGATGTTCTTGATCAGCTTGCTGAGTGAACCTGTAATATATGAGTTAGAGGGTGGAAGTGAACCTGTAGTATATAAGTTAGAGGGTGGAAGTTTATCGTGCATTATTCGGAATCCCGAATTCATCTGGAACCCCTTGATAAATTACATCAATCAATAAAAATCCTATCACTAATCCCTGGAAAATAAAGTTATCCGTTGAGACTTACCTCCGGGAACTTGCTCCATGAAGATCCTGACAGTTACACCCTCTCTTTCACAACCCAAATAACTGACAATGTTCTTGTTTTTTAGCCGCTGGTGGAGTGCTATCTCTTCTACTAAATACTGGATCTGTGAGCTGAGGAAACGTTGTAGGTAAGTCAAATTTATTGAAACTTTGACGCGAGACATTATCAAGTATCAATATTATGAGTTTTGTTTTTTTAAAGAAGGAAACTCATAGTTAATCTGATCAATTCCTCAAAAAAAACTGTTCCCTAAGTAAAGAATGAGTGGCTACTTACTCATCTCCGTCTTGAATGGTAATTTCTTTGACAGCAATTTTCCTCTTCGTCAGCTTATCAATAGCAGAGTAGACCACACCGTATGTGCCGCGACCTAGAATTTGTTTCTCTCCTCGAGCATCTCTTTCGTACTCCAACTGTTAGCAGATCGTCGGTTAGAATCACAAATAATTTGAGTTCTTTACCGAGTACGATAAAATCGTGCTGCATAAGAGAGTGACTTAATGCATCACTCATCAGTAAAATACAATGCCAACCAAGTAAGGGTTTCAATAAAAGTACCTCAATTGTGTCCTTTTTGTCATCATCTTGCTCAGCCTGCATCACGTAGGGAGAGATAATATCAAGGAAACGATTGCGGAGAGCAGCTGACGGGAAATGAAGATCAAAATCGTCGGGATTCACGTAGATAACAACCCTGCGATCGTCTTTGTTAGCCGTGCTCTTGTTAACTATACGCTCCAGTGGGTAGCTCCATTTCAGTTGCACCCTTTCTTCAAGCTCTTCAGTGTTCTGGCGCTGAGACAACAAATATTGTAAGAAAACGAAATTTGAAACGATTTTACTGATTTATTTATTTCAGAGATAAATTAATCGCCATAAATATTATTCACGTTACAATAAGACAAGAACTAAGTTTGCATTAAAATCGACAAAAAATATTCATACCTCCATCTTGGCGTGCGGAAGTGCAATATGAGTAATATCAATAGTAGTAACACCGTCCTCGTCACCGTCAGTATGAACTATAATCATGCTAGGAACATACTTCTCTTTTCGTATCCCCGGCAAGTGGTCTTCTAAAATTAGAACCTGTAAAATTTGGCGGTAATTTGCGAGAGTTTCCTGCCTAGCTTCCCGGGTTGTGAATAAAAGAAGCCGACACAATAGCTAGTATAGGTTTAGCGGGTTATTGTGATGTTTATTGTACCTGTTGGCAATTTCCGGTAATCGCCAAAGCGAGTGAGCAGAGATTTGAAGTGCGCGGCATTCATAAAGCGTGCAAAACAAACGCGCGCACACTTGCGCGGCTGAAAACAGTGCTGAAACGCATTTTGTACTAAAGGTCAGCCCGGAAAACTAGCAATAGAAACCGTGAATTTCCTGGTGGTTCAGAGGTTAAGACTGCCGGGACGGACCCTTTGAAGTCTATGTTGGGTGATAGCTTAGTGCGAACAGATATACAGGTTACCAGTTCATTGAGCATATATCAAAGGGTGATTCGTTTACATCCCGCTGGAGTCTGAGAAGACTTCGCAACACTAATGCGAATTTTAACTTATGAATAATAAAAGGGTCAAGTATGTTATGAATTTTCAGTCAGAAGGTGACAGATAGTCGGTAAGAGAAGCTCGACAATATTTTTTTAAATTCCATTCAAATGACTAACTTTTACTCCGTCCTGAATACAGCCAGATGGGGATAACCTACTTCTTCTATCACAAAACTCTTTCAACTTTTAGAGAACACAAATTCTTGGAACTTATTAACATTCTGTGGAAAAGAGAATGCTGATTGCTGCGCTGCCGCAACTTTGTGAGCCAGAAGTTTTCTTAAAGAGTAGTGGGACTTCCTGTCTAAGGCCTAGGACCCTAGCCCCTAGGTGATGTCATTCATTTGATTTCCAGCAGAAGTAATTACATTAAACTTGAACTGCAACAGTCGATTATACTGGTCATGTCGTATTGGGCATAGAAGATGAAGTTCACGCATTTTTGTAATTCATCACGATCGATATGGAAACTTGTATGGCAGTAAAGTTAATTTTCTGTCAAACGTGCATGGGTCATCACAGATCACTGATGAAAAAAATCAGTGTGTGTTATTTCGGCATAACTAATATTCACTCCAGTATTCATTTTAAATGAAATTTGAGGTGGAGAGAGAGGAAGCTGTATTTGAACCATAAGTTTCTATTTTTAAATGTATTTTGTTTTAGTGCACTCATTCTAGAATTTGTACAAATAAATTTATTCATGATTGTCTGCACAAAGATAATGGATATAAGGTCATTCCTCCAGCCAAAGAATGGATATAATACTTAAGCATTTAAAGTTGTAGCCATAGTATTTTGCATTCACTTAAAGCCTTTGATGTCTCCCTTATAACTGGGAGAGATAATGTTCGCTGAAGTGATTGGTCAAAAAGTTTGACAAAGAAGACTTAAAGATAGAGGTAAATGGTACGGCGAAAAAGATATCGATCAGATAAAATCTTAGAATGCGCAGTGAGGGTTTATAATATGAAGGCAGTTCATTGGGTAGCATAAACTGCGCGTGCTAAACTGCATGTTTAACCTCAAGTGATAGATACTAAGAATCTGTAATATTTATGTTACTCTGACAAAATTTACAGCCCTCATTTTGTCTGAAATATGGACAATGTTTCAGACAATTATTCCTCATATTGTAATAATAATGTAGTGCTAATGACTGTGTTGAGACTAGTTTAGGAGGGATATGGTCTGGAATGTTATTATTAAAAACGGAGATTATTCGAGAATGTGTTCAGATCAAACTTACTCGTGCTTTCGGGAGACTTTGATCACAGGTTACTAGTCATACCTTTTAACTACTAACATAATACAACTCTATTTAGATTTCAGTAATAACTTAACAAACAAACAACCGACTTATAAAAACTAATCATTAGTACATGAGTTGAAGTGTAGTTAATTGTTATGAACTCTGTGCTCTAATATGTGATTGTAATTATGTTTGTCTCAACAAAGGCTGGTTACTAAGGGACTATCATCTATAAGAAGTGTTGAGTAACAATTTAATGTAATTATTAAGTGATTAATGTAATTACACATTTAGCTGGCTCCCTAACAAAACATAGTGATCGAGTTATCGAACAGTTCTAATAATAGTGAACAGGAACAGTAATAATGTGATAGTGAGTAATCTGCTACTTCTTATACCTCATAACATGACAATTCACACATTCACAGTAATTAGCACAAAACGTAAAGAGACCAAATAACACAAACAAGAAGCTCGTCTAACGGACGAAGTAGAAAGAACAAGAAGTTCACCATGTGGCACATCATACTAGTAGTCAAATAACTAATACGAGGTTATGATCTCATATTTAACCACCATATTTCATTATTATCCCACAAAAGAGAATCCCACAAAGTAACGAACAAACCAACTTATTAACATACCATTAGTTGGCAGTAAGTCAAAGACCTGTATGAGTTAACATACGATCAGTCAGACTTGAAGAGAGCTTCACACATGATCTAACGACCGCATATCATTATAAAAGCATATATATTATAAAGGAGTATCTCATAAATATGAAGCAGTATGGTGGAATGTGTCTAATGACCATGACAATGGTTTATATCTAGTGTGAGGGCCCTCATTTAATGAGTTTCACCTTTGTACCAGGCATAATGCATATCTCTTTGTGTATCCAGTGCTGACTGTTATTTACAGTTAATGATATTGGGGACACGTGTGCGTGGTGCGGGGACGTATTTTTGTTGCACGTGCACATTAAGTCGTATCTCATTAAAATTGTTACAGGCCAGGTCTCACGTGATATATATCTTAACGGCGCACACATGATGTGGAAACAAACTGCCACAATTGTTGAGAGCGAGCTTTTCTTAATGCTTACACTTTTAATTAAAATACAACAATGTGTGTTGTACAGTGTATTTCCCTGTTCCCCACTACTACAGAGTAACAGAGAGGTACTAGTTTGTATAGGCAGCTTGTTAGCACATCGTGTTAGCTTGTTGTAGTGATGTGTGTACCAGCATGTAGTTCGGTACAAATATGTGTCACGAATATGTGTTATATTTTGAATATTATAACATGTTGTTCAGGGCTGAACTGTTAAAATGGTACCTATGGTTGGTGGCACGCCTCTTCTGACAAAGTCACTACTGAACAGATGTAAACGAGACAAAGTTAAAATATGTACGACTGATAACATTGGAATAATGGAATGGTAAACATGAGAAGTGATCAATTAACATTAAATTAGATCTCAGCTGTTCTTGAACTGTGCCCTTAAAATGGAATCTGTGATATTAACAAAAATGTGGTGTTTTATAAGATATGATGATTAGGGTTATTAGCGAGTTGCAAGGTACGCTTGGTACTTTACGTAAGTTTCCTTTTATTTAGTGTTATTAACGTTTTACTAGCATTATTTCTTTACTAACATTTAAATCTAATATTTTAACTTTAAATGAATACGATAAGCATTTTGAAGAACCACGAGCGTGCCTTGCTTGACAAAAACTTACAAGAACAGTTAAAGCGAACACCATGTTCAATTTATTGAAAATAAAATAATTGATCAGTTTCAATAAAGTTTAATTGAACTACTGGTATGTAGTATGGAGATATACGTGGAGATATACGTGGAGATATACGTGACCAGAGACTGGATATAAGTTGCAAAAACAGTAACTTGCAGATCATGTTCGATTAGATTGAGTTAAAATTTATTGGTTTCAATAAAGTTTAATTAAACTACTAGTTTCTTGATATACGTGACCTTCATACAGAACATTAGCTGTTTCAGACACCAGTGAATGAGGGTCCAGGTTCAGCACTTTATGGACACGTGATCACTCTAAACCAATCAGCTGACAGATCCGAGAATAGAGTCGCAGTTCACAGTTACTTACTTTACTTTGATGAGGTTCTGGCTAAGTGCCAGGTGAGTCATGCTTGTAGCAGACTGAGCGACTGAGAACTTATATTACAGACTATCTAGACGAGATGGCAGTTGGTGGGGTGTCTGCCATCTTGTCCAGGGATGGACAAAGGGCATCTACACTTTAAAGTACTTAATAGTTTCTCGGGTTCTTATTGGTTCGAGCTCCTTTTGTATAAAGAGTCCACCATTTTTCTGCTTTTACACAGAAAAAATGCCAGCTAGGAATGTACAGTGGGTAGGAAATGTTCCTTAATGTCCGCCCGAGTAGTACATTGTCATATTCACATCATAAAAAAGTTGTTTTTACTATGAGATGTGAATGAGATCAGGCGATAGGTTTGAGATTGTGCAGCACATTGGTCACAACTCACATCCAATGAGCCAACAAATCGGCTTTAAAATCACTGTTTAATGAGACATAGATAATTTTGTAAAAGATGCAAATGTCCCGAATGTGTCAAAGTGTCTCAATTGCGACACTCGAAAGGAATAAATACCGACTTTCTAAATTATCTGTGTGGATAGCGACTGGTCCTATAATTTCATAGAAATTTCCGCGCCGGTCTTAGTCGAACTGTTGCTAGATATTTTCTTCTGTTCGTTCGATCTAAATAGCTTAACATATTACTTGTACAGTTGTACGTCAATTGTACGTCAGATGATATGTGACCGCAGAATTTATAGAATGTGTAAACACCATTCGGAAAAAAAAAAACCGTCGTCTTAAAAAAACAGTTATTATTCAGGACCGGAAATCCATTTATGTTAGACTGCCAAAAAATCAACCAAAGCCAACGGTCTCCTAACTGTTGAGGACTATTTCTAAAATAACTTCCTGTAAACTACTAAAGGACCAGCTAATGCCCGGTTCTTCCCAGAAAAAAGCGGAAAAGCGCCGTGTTCCACGGATCGTGTTATCAAGAACCAAAAACACTACTTACCCGGAAATGGAAATCCTCAGTTGTTTCGATCCTGCTAGCGTCTGTAAAGAAGTCCGTCCAAAAGTGGTAGATGTTCTGATCATTGCTCTGGACTGTTTCAGTTTTGGGCCGGTGTGACTCGATAAGTCTGATGTTGGCCATCGTACTTTCCAGCATCCTGAAAAGGGAAAATATGTTAAAAATGTGAGAGCTTAGCAATGTTAATGTAACGGGGTTAGTGGGTGTTCATTCACAGCCTTGTGTCTAGAAATAACAATGCCTTTTTTGAGTCGGTCTCTCTACTTTTGTTTACTACAGCCAGTAATCCTGATTGGGTAGTCTCAAACAACACTTCACCTACAAATTACCCCAATTTCCGCGTCAGACTTCCATAAAACGTGTCTCAAAGTTCCTGATGAGAATCCACATAATATTATGCTAATATTATGTAGGCATGCACATGTAAACTATGCAAGACTGGCTCCAGCTAATTCGATAAAGATATGGTGAATCTCTCTTATAAGGTATGTAATATGTATGCTCGCTAGTTATAATATGTTACATTCACATCTTGGTTAAATAATCTCAAATCAAGCGAAACCCGATCCTATAATGTGATCAGGCTTTGATTCTTTCAGAATATATTCGATGAAAGAAACACAACATTATTCTCTTCACTGCTCCGTGTGGCGCCTGGTGAAACATTTATACTCTCACTCTCACGCTTATAAACATAATTTTCACTCAGAGAAGCTGGGTTCATGGTTGACTGACCTTAATTTGACATAAACTTTACCAATAATACGTGACCTATACCTTAATTAACCATGAATTCTTATCGGATAAGCGCTATGCTGTTTACAGTTTCACGGAGAATGACCATATGACCTCAGGATGCTTGTCTGCTGAACACTTAACTAAAGTCGTGAAGTCACTCCACTAGGTCTGATTAATTTGATGGTTATTACATAGTATTACACTACTCACTAGTTAGGCTTATCAGCTCAACAGGGATATAAACAATCATGATCTCATGTTACCGTTAGGCTTGTTAATTAATCACTGTTTACCCATCTCATTAATCTTCATTATTTCTTCTCAGAGTTTGATTCTCATTCCTAAATGTACTCATGATGCTTGAATACAAAATGTGCTGATTTTCTCAAAAGTCAAAATTATTTCCGAGAAATGGTTTCGATAGACCATGTATGAAAGTGGGTCCATGAAACTATAACCTTACATGGATAAACACTTGATATAATACTGAACTCCGAGCGCTTTCGATTCTGACAATTTGTAACTAGAAACAGCCTTTCTTATAAGACCACAAAGAGACACTGAGACAGCCTATTAGACAATAGTACCCCATGTAAATATTAGTAATAATAGTCTATTACCTGATCTGTAACTGTGCTTCAAGGGAGCGTGAGTCAATGTCTGGGTTTCAACAGCAGCTTATTTCTCTAGACTCTCATTAACTTACAGACATTTCTTTTCAAACTCATCGTTAAAAGCTGTTATTTTTATAGCAGCTGTATAAGGTATATGACCTAAATATTTGTAAATGTGGCCCTTAGACTTCGTCTGGAAGTTTGTCCGTGATCTGCGAGACCATATGTCGTGAAGGGACATGTGGAGACAGATGCTGAATGATATATACCACACAGGAGTTATGGTTGGAATTAACCAAATATGGCTCTAAATAGGTCCAGAACTGTGTGTTGTGGAACTAGAAATGCTAATATTAACAACATAGCTCTCAACCTGGTCGCACTTAAAGAGACACCGTCTCACACAAACAGACAATGTGTTGTAACCGGTCTGAGCAATGTGAGAAGTTGTTTACTTCACTACTATCTACTACAGTACAGCTGACACAGTACCATTTATACGGCCTGTCGAGCTAAACTTAGTTATAAACTTTTAAAACATCTGGAAACATAATAAGAATCCGCGATAAATGAGAAATATGAGACTTTGTTTCAATCCTGAAGTTATTAATTCCCTTTTCACTCTACGGAGTAAAGTTCTAAATGTCACATACTGTACATGTTTTTTATAAGCATAATGGCCAGCTGCAAAACAGTGACATTACCGCTTCCCTCACACTTTTTATATGAGGAATTAGACAGCATAATTCATGGAACAAAGATATTTACAGTGTACACTTATGATACAGGCTGTATGTTCAATTCACTTGACTTCCACAAGATTTTCCACGCAAAAATCTGTAAAAAAACAAGCTAGGCTCTTTCTGAAAACCCATACGGTGCTTCTCTCTAATAATTCAACTCACGAGAATGGTCAGAATATTATCTCACATACTTTACATGGTTTTTATCCACATTAACACTTTTAACTCTAACTTTTGAAGAATGAGACAACATAATTCCCAGAACAAAAAGGTGCTGTTTTTACGGTTATCCGGTTTTGCATCTAACTTAATCCAGAGTCTAGACCACTACTAGCTTCTTAGAACGTGGTAACCAGGTAACCAGGTAACCAGGTAACCAGGTAACCAGGTAACCAGGTAACCAGGTAACCAGGTAACCAGGTAACCAGGTAACCAGGTAACCAGGTAACCAGGTAACCAGGTGACCAAGTAACCAGGTATCCGGTTTTTCATCTAACTTAATCTAGAGTCTAGACCACTACTAGCTGCTTAGAATGTGGTTCCAATGACACTAAATGGAGGGAGGCAATGTCACATGTCTCGGTGATCTCTCCACACACCTGTTCCCTTACACACTAATTCCTCTTTCAAATTAGAAGTAAGCCGTTCAGGTGTAACAGTTTGTCGGGTAGTACCTTTATGTAAAGAAACGAGTCTAGCTGCTGTATATTATATATAGCTAGCTGCTATATCATGCTACATGGAGAGCGGCTATATCATAATATGGTCTGAGCTGTGATCAGGGGAGGATAAATGTAAGTCTTGAGAGTTAAGTCTTTGAAGTAGTATATGTTTGATGAGGGTGAGAGGAGTTAACTTTGTGATTGAACAACATGGCCTTTCTTTGTTCTGGGAAACCATTCTGTCGAACTTCTGGTAATAAACATTTCCATGTACAGTTCTTTTCTATTCGCAGATGTTTGGAGATTAACGAAATCTGTGGGCGGGCTAGAATTTTTTTGGATGTAAGCCAAGTGTAATTGAATTGCGCAAATACCTCGCGAATTTTATATGTATTAACGGTACTTGACCTAAGACACGGTGTTTACTGTTTTATGTAAGCCACACCTCTTATATTAACCAAATATTCGCAGTACTGAGCATATTTTACCGGGCTTACAACTTTTCCTCGGCGAAGAACGCACTCCGACACAAATACTGCAAATAATATCTTCTTGATGACATGAAGAGGTTTCTGAAATAAGATAATACGACCCGATGCGGCGTCAGACGGTAGTAACTACCGTGCTTATTTATTTACTGTAACTAAGTGCTATGTATGTGTCTCTTGTTATATGCACCCTATATAATGGAAACAGTACTTTATTACTCAGTGTTACTGAGCGTCGATAACGATGTGATGACACCAAAAATTGACCTAATTAAAACCATAACCTTAACATTCTTGTACAGCCGCATATTCCTATTTGATTCATGAATAATATGCGTTCCTTATCTTTAGTGATAAATATGTAACTCTACGTAGTACGTACGGGTATAAGTACATGAAGGATACCACAGATTTCCTATTAAGGCCTGGTATACACCAAGGTGTGTGTGTGTGTGTGTGTCTATATCAGTATCTTCAGCGTGTCTAATACATGAATATCAGCAGATCAGTATATCTATATTAGTATCATGATGTGTATATTTGGTAGTACTACTCACAGTCAACAGTGAGAACCCATACAAAGATACACCACAACAGCAGGAGGAGGAGTTGTTATTGTCGTGGTTGCCAGGTATTTCGTCACGGTGACGTCACACCAGGTGCAGTGTGACGTCATCCCAAGCCGTACAATATAATAACACTGTAACCCTGCCAGCAGGGGTGAAGTCACCATCACCAGACTGACAAATACAGTTACAGTGTACAGACTGCAGAGAGAGAGAGAGAGAGAGAGAGAGAGAGAGAGAGAGCATTAGGGCGTGAAGGATTGAGTTTCAATGAAGTCACTAGTTTGATCGTTATGTGAAGTCTAAAGTGAACCCATGTAAACGGTTTCTGATGACGATTCTGGTGAAATCAGCTCGGAGGATATACGTGATCTCCGTGATCTGGCTAATTAAGAGGAATTAAGAGGAAGTGATGATGAGCTCTGTTTCGTGTGCAGTGTGAAATCCGTGTTTCACTTTAAAACACTGACAAGAGGAAATTAAATCAGTGGCTGAAAAAAGCGACAGATAACAGTTATTGTGTAAGTGTGATCATCCACTGATACTGTTTGGTAAATTAGGATCCCGGAGAAATCAGAGTGAGGATAGAATAATTAATGTGATGTTTACTTACGGGTTACTTGAGAAACTTCACGTTGAAAGTTGAAACGCTAATTTTTCTTACTCAGAGTTTAATGTATTTACTACTACTATACTACTGCTAATACCGTAATGATTAAATAACAAGATCTAATAGCTTAATAATGAGATTATTCAGTGTCCAGGCTGCACGACAGAAGGGCCCCTCAGATCTGGGTTTGATTCTGTAGACTGTACAAGTATAATATTCTACAAGTATATTATTCTACAGAATCTCATCAAAGCTCGGGGGCTACTACTCAGTAGTAGTTCTAGACGTGACCTGACAAGGATAAACCCTCTGAATAAGCACATGATGCAGATGACTGATAAAATAAATGGTATTAGCACACCTACGCCTACTCTCCTACGCCTAAACATGGTTTACCTTTGAGAATATTCTAGAGAAATTATCTCTCTCGAGAATATTCTAGAGACATGTATTATCTCTCTCGAGAATTACTAAAATTTTCTGCAATATTGTCAAGGGGCAGCTAAGCGAATCCCAAAAAACAGTAACACGCATGCGAAAGGCAGAAATATTTCCAGCAAGGCACACATTGGGAGTCAGAAGGGCGCCGGTTTGATGTAGGGCTGTTTGAACCAAAAGAGTGTTAACGAAATATGTGAGGGTAAGATAAAGTGTGATAAAGTCTCACAAACAGTAAACTAACCATTGTTCAGGTTTCAGGTTGAACATACAGAGGGCTGCTCTGTTACTGTGCTTGTACATTCTCTGGATGACATTGAGCTCGAAAGAGGTAGCTAGATCCCAGTAGTCAGTTATCTCTTCCAGTTGTCCTTTCTTTCCGAGTAATTCTCCAATATCAATACCTGACGGGGAAATTAGGTCAGGTTTTTAGTTTATTGAACTTTTGGATCTGAGCGACTTTTTATGATGATTATAGACTGGGATGCCTGAGGTTTGATTAGATTGACAAATTTAAATAAAAACTTTAAATAACTGGTTTTGTTATGTGACCGATTGACAGCAATTGATTATTGAGCTGAATTTCAACCTGGTCGCAGTTAACTTTCTGAGCCTGCATAGTCCTAACTCCTAAGATCTTGGATTTTACGACGAACACGTCAACGATTAGGGTCAGACGGACGAATGGAGCTCATTTGTCAAGCCACAAAGGCCAAGGCTAAGTCAATAGCAGCTTTTACATTTTTAAAGTTTAAATATAATATATGAATCATCGAATTTATTGCCCTGTCGAATTGTGGATTTCAATATGTTCGGTGACGTAAATATTTGCCGGAACAAATAGAAAGATGAATAAAGTCTAGGACAATGATAACGTGCCTTAATAACTCAATTACTAAATATAACGTTTAAAAATATTCCACAAAAGAAATATCTCCAATTTTAACATTACGTGACTTTTGAGTCATTTTCTTCAGAAATACTCAGTAGCCAGCGGTCACAAAAATACATAAGTTAGTATCTCACCATGTTGGCCATTCGATAATTTCAGAAGCTTTGAAACAGTAGAACGTTTTAAAAGCTGATTTAAAAGATTCGCCATTCGATAAAAAATTTTACTGAACACGGTAACTTATTCCGTGTCTTAGGACCACAACAAACGAATGCTGCTTCAGTTCGACTAAATCAGGGTTTCCCCGTGAACGTGACAATAGCAAATAGACCTATCAACGGCATTTGTTTTTTAACAACTTTACATCACCTCCCCACTGTAACCATTTAATGTTTTAAAATTCGTCGTAAGACCAATTTTCGCATCTGGTTGTTGTAGACCCGCCACAAAGTGACAAAGCCACAATAATGCATTCCGTGGAACAAAGAATGTGAAAATTTGTCAATTTACGGTATTACATATGATATTCACTTAGCATTAAGCTTAAAATGTTTTATCAAATTCCCTGTTAAGTGCGCTGTTAATCAGCAAAGATATTGAGTAAGAGCCTCCAGTTTAGCTCTAAAGATATTGAGTAAGAGCCTCCAGTTTAGCTCTAAAGATATTGAGTAAGAGCCTCCAGTTTAGCTCTAAAGATATTGAGTAAGAGCCTCCAGTTTAGCTCTAAAGATATTGAGTAAGAGCCTCCAGTTAAGCTCTCAACAAAGATATTGAGTAAGAGCCTCCAGTTTAGCTCTTAACAAATATATTGAGTAAGAGCCTCCAGTTAAGCTCTAAAGATATTGAGTAAGAGCCTCCAGTTTAGCTCTTAACAAAGATATTGAGTAAGAGCCTCCAGTCTAGCTCTTAACAAATATATTGAGTAAGAGCCTCCAGTTAAGCTCTCAACAAAGATATTGAGTAAGAGCCTCCAGTTAAGCTCTTAACAAAGATATTGAGTAAGAGCCTCCAGTCTAGCTCTTAACAAAGATATTGAGTAAGAGCCTCCAGTTAAGCTCTTAACAAAGATATTGAGTAAGAGCCTCCAGTTAAGCTCTTAACTTCTTAACAAAGATATTGAGTAAGAGCCTCCAGTTTAGCTCTTAACACATCTACTACTCTCCGTATTTACTATATTTGAACTAATCCATTTTAAGAGACACTAACTTTCAGACACTGATTTTACTCTGAACATTACTTTACAGTTGACAGTGCCAGAGATTGCAAAATTCGACAATAATTCCTCGTTCTTGATCTTACATTTAACACATTAACTTGCTTTCATACTCAAATGTCCATAGAAAGCAATTTTGATGTTGAGACGAATAAAATTAATAAGATAGTGCTGGCAATGACCCCTGATTAATTGGATGGTAAGAGCTATCCCGCGGTGTCACGTGATAGGGTGTGTAAAAGGAAGTAACTGATCTGCGGTAACACGACATCTGTCTGACAGCACTATTTTCTTGAGTTTAAGGTGATATCTAAAATTTGGCACATAGAAACTCGCTCAAACTTACATATTATAATAATAACCTATTTTCTGAGTCGGACAGATGTCGCCCAATCCTGATCTGCGTAGGTTGGCGATCATACCGAGCTGCGCTCTTGTTATTGTTCTGCCAGAAGTTGGTGTGTCCATGACAGATTAGCAATAACATCACAGTACAAAAATAGCAACTTAAGTAATGAAGTGCACTAAGAGCTGAAATGGAGAAGCCCTGCATTACTACTCCTGCATTAGTAACACTCTAATTTCTACAGAATGCAGAGGTAATGTGTAATGGTAGAGGTAATACCAGGCCGGACCTGATACTTCATGTAATTAGAATGACTCAGCCTGTCAATGTTTCTGACTATCTCGGAGATGTGTTGGTAAAGTAAGAAAAGTAAATTGTTTTGTAAACGAGTGACAAGGAAGTTTCGTGTCGGGATGATGGAAGATGTCATTTAGAATGTTTGTTTGTGACGAGAGTTAGAGAATAAAGAAATTACGGTAAGTGTGTTGTTACTTTGCTTACTAATGAGTTAAGTTATTATGTAACCTAAAACAACTCAATCTAAATTCCTGATGAAGAATGTTAAAGTTTTAGAAGTGTTTTAGTTCTATTGAAGCGTGGTGTTCAAGCGGAAAGGTATGCTATATTCGGGCTCAGATCACGTCCGAAAATAAGGAAAGTTTTCAACACAACTAATTCTCCTTCAGGCATTAAATCCGATGTGAAAATTACAGTATTCAACGCTGAGCTACAAATGTTTTAAACTGATCTCATTCAAAAGTTTTAAAATTGAGGAAATCGTGCTCTATTCATCTCCGAATTTAGCAGATCCAACCTTACTCCAACCTTAGCTTACTTATAAGTTATAAGCTAATTTGTGGTAGATTTTCTATTTATAGTATGCTGCAGAACGCTTTTAGAAGAGTAATAGTTGCAAACTGCGCTGATTACAACCAGTAAAATGTTAAATTATGTCCACTGACGACGACTCGGTTACATCTCTGTTAAAGAACTTTAGTAATCCGTTATATGTGGCAGGATTATAATATTGTAATGATATTATAAACATGGTTATATTGTAATTTATATAATAAGTTTATTTGCTAACATATCTATTTATAAATCCATATTTTAGGTATAAGGCATTATAAGATAATACAAATATTTATTATAAATAAATCATAAATATAAAATAATGCAAATATTCATTATGAATAAATCATGAATGGAAGATAATACGGCTCTAAACAATAGGTAGAGTAAAATGGAACTATTCGATATTTCTCTGCACTACTAATACTAGTAGGCTACTAGTACTATTAAATCATCTGCATTCCGTAACAGAGTAACAGGTTGTTTTATCTGGAGCAAATTTTCCAGTTTCTCTAAAAATATTTAACATTTTAACATACAAAATATGATATGAAATGAAATTCCAAAAAATAACAATTATAGTCTAGTCCACATCAAATTGGTTGAAGTAATAACATAACATATTTGTCACATTACATATTTGTCTCATTCTGACTAACGAATTTAAATCTCACAGTGGCCCGAGTAGTATCCATCCCTTGTTTTGTAATTTGCGAAAAGATGACAACAAGGAATATTAATAGCTGTGGAATGAGCCGATTTAGTTCTGTTATCTGTCATACTCATAGTCATACTGGAGATATACTGATTCACTGAACTATCATATATCTCAACTTGATTGAATGTATGAGCTGTGATGTAATCCCAGTTCCCAGTTCGTTGACACATATATATTATAATATATATTCAGTATATATTATCTAATATGTATCAAGTATTATATCTATCTTAGAGTCGACTGTCGAGCAAGTCCCTCAATTTCTTGAGAAATAGGATGTGACCAAATATGGTGAAATCTAGGGGAATATGTGTGTGATCGGGTAATACTCAGCGCACTATGTTTACAGTTAGAAGGGATCTGAGAGGCATGGTCCTGTATCGGGTTTTGAAGTGCATTCTCTGCATAATTCTCTGCATAATTAATTCTCTGCATAATTAATCCTCTACATAATTAATTGTCTGCATAGTTCCATGCCGGTCTATATATCGTCAATATAACTGATCTGTTCCTTGGCTTTTTAAAGTTCATTTAGACGTCCTGTGTCATCAAGTGCGTAGCTTAGTCGAAAGTCAAAACAATTATGCAACAATGTGCATGTGTAACAGTGGGTAATTCTACCGTATGAAATGCTCAAATTGCCGTTCAAGACTTATATAAAGGTTCTATGATGAGTAATTAATAATTATGTTATTTATTTGAATAATATGTTACATATTTATTTATACATATTTTTAATAAATCTCACAGTGGCCCGAGTAGTATCCATCCAATGACAGAAATTTTAAATGTTCTCAAGGGAATGGAATAACCACTATGCAGCATTAAGGAATATTGCGCGATTAATTTAAGTAAAAGTGGAGGTGTTAAATGAAACCATATTCCATAAAATACGCTTATTTTTTGACAGTTGAAAAATCCACCAAACAGCGGTACAAATTAAATGGTTTTTATGACAGTAACAAATCAATTTGTCTGCTTTCAAAACGATAAAATCATTATTTATTCTTGCATCATAGAACCCAATCAGTCATCGTAGAGACTTCAAATATTTTGACAGATGTTTCGCCCCTTAAAAATAGACAGGCACGTGTAACGCGATATTATCTATCATCTATACCTTAATATGAAGACGTTATAATGGTCTGTATTCAAAGATTGATCACAGTTTCAAAACTCTGCAACTCAAACCTTAATGCATATTTTCCAGAATATTCGGTTAAATTGTAATGCAACTCGTTTTCACCTACAACACCTGACAGCATTTAAAGCACTTACTGGCGAAAGTTAACCTCTGAACGATCAATATTTCAATATAACACGTGTGCTAAATGATTCATTACGGATTTGCACGTGCGCTGAGAATTATGCACGTGCGTTGAC